TTTCTTTTCTTTTCTCTCTCTGCATTCAAACGCTACTACACTTACCAAGTATTTCAACCCCAAGCGAAAGGTGGAATCCGGGTCCCCACAGCGGATGTCGTCTCTGTGGATCCCCCTCCCGTTAGGTGGACCATGGGACCGTCAACTGCTTTCCCCTACGGTGTTTTGGTCCTATCGTTGAACCGCGACGCAGACGTAGCCTGCAGAGCTATGGATGGTGATAAAGGGTTGATGAGCGATGAAACTGGGTCCTCCTGACTTATTGTCTTTTTAGCGTATGCATCTTGCAGAATTTTCTTTTTACTTTTCTTTTGCGTGTCCTGGTTTGCCTTTTTTTTTTTATTTTTTTATTTCTTTCTATTTTGCTTTTGCTGGCTTTTTTTGTTGGCAAGTAAGTGCATGTATGGAGTCTGTATGCATGATTGATTGATTATTGTAGTGTCAGTTAGTTTGATGGTGGCTGTTTGTGGATTGGTTTGTTCATTCATTCATTCATTGTTTTCTATCGGCCGATGATTGTTTTGTATATTTCTTTTCATTATTAAACTCGGCAGCAAACTGGGATTGTGTCTGCTGGTCTGCTTCTTTTCCACAGCCACTCACTACTACTGCTGCTGCTATTGCTACTGCTACCACTACTACTACTACTACTACTACACCACACACACGCATACCTAATATCCGCCTGCACCTGTAACCTTGGGCCCGTGTCCAGAGCCTTTACCCTTCCATCCACCCCGTAATCGGCGCCCAGTACGTAAACCCAATGCAGGTGTTGCTTCATCACCAAATCCCGATTGGAAGAGGGGTCCGCCTCTCAACCCGTGGAGTTGAGACGTTTCGTCCGTTCTGAACCCTTCCCCATCATTTAAGGTGGCCCGCCAAAGGGTCCGAAGCGATGCGTTCCACTCTTCAAGGGATCGCAGTCGATCCACGTCACTAGCGCTTTCCACGACGACCGTTCCATTTTCTTGGTCAATTTTGGCGTTCAACTTCTTGTCCAGGATCAGGAAACTCAAAATGTCCTGTACCTCTTGGATGGAGATTTTAATGTGCTTGGAGATGAACGCCAGCGTAAACCGCGTGTAGGGTGCGATCAGCTTGAGGACTGCCTTGGTCCGCATGTTTCGGCTGACCTCGTCGATGTTCTCTGCGATGAAGGGATCCGCCAGGACATCAGGGTTCTTGCTCAGGACCGCTTCATATGCGTGGATATCGTCGCGCTGGAAGGCATCGACTAAATCGGTCATGGCCGAAATGCGGGGGTCGCTCTTGTAGGGCTTGGTCTCTTGCGAATAGAACGGGTTGATGTCGGATTTCATCAGCATGGTGGTCAGCACCAGATACTTAAGAACCTGGATACGTTGCATCGAACCAGCCTCGTCGTAGTTCCGGAACGACTCAAAGAAATCGCTCTGCGCTTCTTCCCAGTTTTCCTCGCTCATGTGCATCTTCCCTCCACATTCCCGGATAATTCCCATGATCTTAGGATGTGGCACCGCCGACCGCACACGGAGAGCGCGCTGATACAGGGCCTTGAGTCGCTTATTGTTCTTCGTCTCGGCGTACATTTGAATTTCCAGTGCGTATAATTCCAGGAGATATGTTCCTTTGCTGGGATCATCCGACCCATCTTCCCGTTGGCATGCCCGATGCAACTCCCGCACCTTCTTGCTCAGTTGACCGTACTCCTTGCGTTCTAGCCATAGGCGGGCCAGTTTAATATTAGTCTTCAGCCACAGACGCTCGTTATTTGTGTTCTGGAACGAATGTAGTGTCAACGAATAAAACTCTTCCATGCACTGGTAGGCCTTGTCGTCATCCGAGCCTTTCTCAATGTAATCCAGCATGTTGTTGATAGACTTTTCGGAATAGTTTCGTGTGACGGCCGACTTGACGTAGGTAAGAAGTTCTCTGTAGTGCTCAACCGCCTAGAGCAGTCAGCAAGGCATCCAGGTGCATGGAGGGCACCAAAGAAAGACCTACATCGCTGTATCGTCCGAGTTTGAATTCCAGCTTTATGGCTTGCTTGAGACCTTTAAAACCCCTTGATATCATCAGCGGCCTGCCCAGCCAACCCGAAAAGTGCAGTTTCTAGTTACCAATCGCCTTTCTCTTGCTCCAGGGCCGGTACCTCCAGGAACTCGTCGATCGCTTCCTCCGGGTTATCTATCTTCATTTGTTTGGCGTTGTAGTATTTATTCTCGATCCCGATGTCTCCCGACTCGTCGTCGTCTGCATCTTCGTACTCAAAGTCATAACTAGCAGGAGTCAACCGCACGTTCCCAGGGCTATTGTATCAGGCGGGAGATACGCACTCTTCGTCGCCAGAATCTTGCATGAAGTCATCATCGTCAGACATTTTGGGGTAGCTTTGTGAGGTTCTCTTTTCGTGGTCTCGGGTATTTCTTGTCTATCGGTAGTATGGATATGAATATCGGTGAAGGTCAAGGGATTTCGTAAGGATACACGTAAAATTCGTTCAGTTGTTGTTTGTTGTTGAGGTAGATAATGGAGGTTGAGAAGAGAGACAAATGGAGCTTGTTGGCAGCCTATCGGAGGTCGGGACCATCAACCACCTTCCCTTCTTACGTTCCCCGCGCTACGGCTGGCTTAGTCCATGGTCGATGGGTCCGACCGTATTTTTCAATCTTTCTTGATCAGGAATTGATCTGGAACTTGTTTGCAGTGCCTCATTGCTGTGATTATATCGACCGGGTTGATAGTTAACCTATAAGCTATTACTTATGTTTTCGTCTGAACTGGCCAAACATCCACATGGAACATGAGACTCGATGTCGCACAATGTACGGTGACCCGTATATGGAAGTAACATATATCTATGCCGCGTCACTAGATATCGCACGCGACAGAGAAGTATCGTCGGTCACAAAATCCCAAAAATAGACCAGCGATGTAAAGTACAGCCCTCGTTACAGTGTAGTATACTATAGAATATTTACAGGCTGAAAATATCTGTATATAATCGTTGAAATACGATGAGGAAATGTGAACAAGTGTTGTGTCACTGCCTTAACAAAATAATTGTAACATAGAAGGATTGCATGTAGTCCATCGGCTAGGCTGTAATTCATTCATCGTTGAGTGTTATCATGGTGGTAGGCTATGTTTTCTAAATTTATAACCTCAGGTTAAGACAGTGGGGACGCGGTATCAATTGAGCGCATTGCAGTCTTGATGACGGCATCGAAGAAGTCTAGAAAGCAATTGTGATGAAAGTTTAACCTCTTCGTTTCTGTCCTATTATAATGTGAATACATAAATGCTATACAAATCATGTAGTTCTAAGCATTGGGATATATATGCATTGTAGCGAAGAAAAAAAAAAAAAAAAAGGTAAAGAAAAGGTCAAATGAGTGAGACAATGCCATTCTTTAGTTTGAAGCTTGTCCAAGTAGGTACCAGAGGACAAAACCCCCATAAATGGAGCACATGCGGATACTACAACCACCAAGATTCAACCAAGAAGAAGAATGCGACGCAGTTTTGATGTCCAGCGTGTGGAATGTCTTATGAGTACCGAGCAATTTTTTGAGGTTCAGGCACTTGGCGAGGCGAAATTAGACCTGAGTCCTTGGCAGATGAGGATCGTCTCATTCGCTGACCCTTTCAAGGTCCGATGACATCGTCTGCACGGCCCATGACCGGTGGCTTTGCTTCCCTCACCACCAGTGCCACAAACTCCTCATTTGCTTATCACTGAAGTGCAAAAATTATTCTTTGTCCCACATTCTCTTATATATTCTAGATATATACGTCTGTGCCGACCCCAGACCGAATTGACCGCATCCCTTCCACACCCCTTATCGCTAGCCCTCGCGCATACCGTACCAAATTCTTGAATACTATCCTCTCACGATGGGTTTGTGCGGACGTCAGACGGTTGTCCGCCGGAAGATGGTGCTGCTGTTAGTAAAATCTGCGACTTTTCTACCACCCGGAGGACAGGGATCTAACTACTGAATTAGAGGCGACGGTGCTTGTGGCAAGACTTCGGCCTTGAACGTGTTCACAAGAGGGTAATAATCGTATCCCGTCCTTTTCTCCTCATGATGTCCGCTAATCCTTGCTGCATAGGTTTTTCCCAACAGTATAGTAAGATACACACTCTTTTCACGTGGTTATACGCTTTGCGATATTGACTTCGCGACTTCTACTTAGTGAGCCGACTGTTTTTGGTGCGTACTAGCCCCTTCCTAACTAATACTTCGCGCTTGCTAACCTTGATCCCTCCAGAAAATTATGTCCACGGTAATCGCTTCCACCCCTTCCATGTCCAATACGTATATTCATACCTTTCTAGATATCTTTGTCGACAATGTACACATGGAATTATCGCTCTGGGATACCGCCGGCCAGGAGGAATTTGACCGATTGCGTGCGTTATCGTATGAGGACACACATGTGATTATGCTCTGTTTTAGTGTAAGGAACCCTTGTGCCCCAATATCGGTGGATAACAACTAAATACTCGAATGCAGGTTGACAGCCCGGATTCATTCGAGAACGTCGCAAGCAAATGGGTCGACGAGATTTCAGAGAACTGCCCCGGTGTGAAGATGGTCCTCACAGCGCTCAAGTGTGACTTGCGAAAAGACGAATTTGAGAACCCTAACCCCAATGCTATTACGTACGAGCAAGGCCTAGCGAAAGCAAAGGAAATCGGTGCTGTGAAGTACCTGGGTAAGTGCCGTTGATGCCCTGCGGTTTTGGTAGAGGGTGTCTTATTAACCATCCAATGACAGAATGCTCTGCCGTTCAGAATCGCGGCATTATGGAGACTTTCTACGAAGCGGCCAAGGTCGCCCTTGAAGTGAAAGCCCAAGGATCGAACGGGTCCAAGGAAGGCTGTGTCATCCTGTAAAGGGTTCGCCCGTTGCTGCTCCTAGCTTCTTTTGACGGTTTCAATCGTTTGTCCGTATACCCTTTGATTTGCTTCTTTTCCGTTGCGCCACTTAGGACTGTCCAATACGAGCTTTGAAAGTCCCAAGCCTACCGCGACTGATCTTCTTTATTACCATGCCAGCTCTTCAGCCTATATGTGTGGCTATTGCATTCTTCTCTTCTTTATATATACTTTTCTGCATCCCCTTTTCTAATTATGTACGCTTAATGTTCTGGAAAAACACGAACTGACCCAGCTTGGAATGGACTCTAGCAATCATGCTACTCAACTGGATCTTTCTATTACCTGGTATCATGTTCTTGGGTCAAAACAGAAGACAGGGAGAACCGGGTCTGTTTATTGCTATTGCTAGACATGCGGATGTGTACTATCTACCAATTGATGACTCTAATTTTTGGTTTCCAGCCGGATAGCATAAGCTACACAGCTCAGAAGCTCTATCTGTACAAACAACGCTTCTAATCCACTCCAAGCACATCTTCCTCCGTAATCCTATACACATCCTCAATCTTCTCCCCTTTCGCACCTTCACCACAAGCAAAATCCTGATTCACCCTCTCCACAAACGCACTCACAAACCGCTCCGCAACCTCCCCAATCTCAACCCCAGACACCCCCTGCCCTTCCAAACTTGTCGCCTCCCTCCCCTCAAGCCCGCACGCCACAATCTGCTTAAACCACCACATAGGCTCCTCCGTCACATTAAACCCAATCCCATAACTACTAATGTTCCGCCGCAGATGCACCCCCACCGCCGTGACCTTCTTCGGTACTCCCTCCCCACTCACCGGCGGCACCCACACCCCCGGATCCTCCGTAATCAGCCCACGGACCCCATACCCGCGCAACACATCCACAACACTATTCTCCAGTACCCGGATATGGCATCTTGGCGTGAGTCCCAATCGCCGCAAGTCGAGGATCGTATACGCTACCATCTGCCCGGGGCCATGGTAGGTCGTCTGCCCGCCGCGGAGCGTGGGTTGGTACTCTGCGCCATTGGCGGAGGTGAGGAGCGAGCGGATCGGCTCGAGCGCCGGGGGTAGCGAGAGGTGTGCTGTGGGGCTTGTGTTGGAAGGAGGGAGGTCGCGGCGGCCCGTTGTGTAGACGGGATTCGGGGTGAAGGTTATGATGGTTGGGTCCGGAGGTTGGATGGGGTTTGTGCTTGGGAGGGTGTCTTTGGGAATGAGCTTTTTGTGGGCGAGGAGGCGCGTGGTGAGGGTTTGTTGGAGATTGGAGACTCGTGTGAAGGATGTTATGTCTGGGATGTGGAGGTGGGCGAGACGCATTTTGGTGGTTGTTTATTTTTTGGTTGGTGTGGTGTGTTTGTCTATGAGTGCATTGTCTGGGTGCGTGCGATTGAGGGCTTGTTGGCTAGCTTGGAGTCGTGGCGGTGGTGTTGTTGTAATTGGAGGTTGATGGGTATTACTGGTAGGTCTGATTGTATTGATGGATGTGGAGTATGTAGTATTGGGGTGTGATCATGTGATCGATGATGTCGATAATTATTGATGATCAGTTTTAGTACGAGGTTTGAGTGAATTTTGTTTTTTATTACTTTATGACCAGTAGTGGTTTGTGTTTGATAGGTACTTTTTTTTTTTTTTTTGGTGTCTCTTTTGATCCCTGTACTGTGCCTTACGAAGTCTGTAGCGTTTAAATGGCCCAGTCATGATCGTAACTCTGGCTATATAGATCCCCGACTGGCAGAATGCCAGAGCTATCGCCTGAGGTATCGCAGTGATATTGTCATATTGTACACATGCGGGAAAAGAAAGGCTTCAATACATGTCAATTATAATGCATCAAATTGTTAGCCACTCGATAAGATTTCATGTTTGTATTGCCGAGGGAAAGTGGACTCATCGCGACATGAAAAACTACAGCTATTGCGACTCCAAGGTCCCATTGACCAGCGGCGCGGGTTGACCTTCACCTTCCAGGACAACCTGCCAGTCCCGTACGCCTCCTTTCCAGTCTGCAATTCGACCCTCACGTACCCGGACGGTGACCACCCGGACGTCATCATCGATGGAGATACTGGGCCTCCGTTGGCCGGGTTGCTGCTGCTGCTGCTGGCCAAAGAGTCCCATTTCTTCTTCGAAAGTGTTGTTCTCCAGATGCTGCTCTTTGCACCAAGCTTCCTCCTCAGAACCAGGTTCCAGGACACGAGCCGAACCGGCGATGGTGGTAGAGATACTTGATAATGCACTTGTGTTTAGATTTAACAGAAGGCTGGCCAAGGACGAACGGGTCGCAGCCGGAGGCGGGGATCCGTCGCGCTGACCTCCGGGGTTGGGTGCACGGGTGGGCGGACGGTGTGACACCCAATCGTGGACAAGCAGGGAAACTCGCGGATTGGTCAAAAGATGGTTGGTCTTGCGAGAGGAAGGATTTGTGGTCATGATAATCGTGGGGTACTGGTCGTAAGGTGTCGAGGGCAGGTAGGTATAGGACATGAGAGAGACATGAGGGGTCAGGCCGTCACATGTTGCCAGATGAAGCTAGCGAGAGTAAGTCGTTGTCTCCATAGGATAACCAAAGATCAAAATAAATCAATTTGTAGAGCAAAAACCTACAAATCGTGAATTCTTCAAGCATGCAATGACCTCTTGGGGCAGCGTGGTTGCCACATGCGGATGAGTTGTCGAGGCTGATGCCTCATATGAGAGGGGAGGGTTCACAGTATCCGTCATAGCGTCAGCACAGCGTATACGACACTAGTTTTATAACGTTGTACAATGTTCACACAGAAGTTCCGATCGTCGATCCTAGCTGTCGATACAGGCTGAGCCGCTAAAGGGAGGGAAAAGCGAGCGTTGTTCCCATGAAGCTGTGGCGGGGATTCGACGGTCGTAACCGCATTGAGCCGGAAACACTAGTCCGCTTTGGTTCGGATCGAGCTCGGACCATTTGGCGGTTGCTGCTTTCCCTTCGACGTCATCGGGTATTGAGCTCTTTTATGGGCAGCGGAGTAATTAGTAGTAATAATACTCAGTACTAGTAATTATTCCCTTACCTCGAGTAGACATACTCCTGCAGATCCAAAGTGGCTTACAAAGTAGTTTGCCCCCGATATGTTTGAAATCAATAGACGTGGAGCAGGATAAAGGTCGTTTTCGTCATAATAACCTAAGTTATGGAGCAATCCACATTGTAGATCGGGGACAACATAGCAAATTACAGAGCATTCCCGTTGCGTATGGGCGAACCGATAATGTCAGAGTTATTGTTCGATTGCGAACTGGATCATACGTTTCTAAACATGGACTGCAATTGGTGACGTTGCTCCTCTAAGCAGCCCAATCCGCAACTGTGGCTGTACTACTAACTAGGTATGTATGTAGTTACTAGTAGTAGTTAGTAGTATTGGGTGTCGTGACTGCCAGAGTCAAGACTCCTTCCCCGCACTCAAGCTGCTTTCCCCAGCTTTTCGCTTTCGACCTTCTTCCACCTCCCACCCTATCAGCTCTTCCATCTTCTGCTATCCGTGTGTCACTTAATTTACTAACTCTGCAACCTGTCACGATCCGTGGGCAGTATCCGGCAGCCATCGTCTGGATTTACTCTTCTCCGCCTGATCATCGCTGACGAACAACTAACTGCTCTCATTTGATTCGAGTCTAACTCCTGCAACACCTCCCTTTTTAACCGTTCGGCAAGCCATCGCGTGTCGACAGCAACCTTACCCCTGTCTTTCGTCTGTGCTTCCCCATTCTTCCCCTCTCTTAAATCCCCTCTTGTGTTCTCTTCATAGCTGTGTCGACTCGTCGTATCGCTGTTGTCAACTCGGTTCGCTGCTAAACAACTGTTGTGGTTGTCCTGCTTTCGAAAGTTTCTTTTTTTTTTTTTTTTTCTGTTCTGCTAGAAGCATTTGTCTCAGCATTTCTATTTGTCTGCACAGCATTTATTCTGTATACGAGAAACAAGCATGCTCGCACCACGCATTTTCCGACCGGTGTCCTCACTGGTCCGGCCTTTGAGCTCCTCTGCTACTGCCTACCGCGCTCCCTCCATTCGTGACATCACCCCCACCTCAGCCGAGGAATTTGCTGCGCGTCAGAAGGAGTTCCGCGAGAATTTGGAGGTAGCTCGCAAAAAGAAAGAACAGCAAGAGAGTCAGTCTGTCGATGCCTCTGCTTCTGCCTCTGCCTCATCATCCCCTGTGTCCCGTGATCGCTTCCGTGAGTACGCTACCGCTCCCACTGCTCCGGGTGCGAGCAATGCGAGCAGTAACTATAGCCCTGCTGTCTTTGACGCTGCCCAAGTTCTTGATAATAAGGCATTGGGCTCACTTTCTACCCACCGTATTCTAGGAGAGGAACATCAGCTAGAAGTCAATCAATTACCTAAGCGCGGTCCGTTGTCTTCGCTTATCTACGGAACGAAGGAAGGCCAGCAACTCGACAAGGATATCGAACGGTCGTTCTCCCAAGTCCTTGCTCGCGGCAAATACGTCCACTCGATCGTCTTCCACGAGGTCAAGCCCGATAGAGTAGACGAATATGTTGATCTGGTAGGGCAGTGGTATCCCCGCATGGCCGGCACTGAGGAAAACAAGGTGAATCTGGTGGGAAGCTGGCGGACGCAAGTGGGGGACAATGACACTTTTGGTATCTCCAATCAAGCTTGACCCTTTCCTGACCCCTTACATGCCTTGTCTGTGGATTCGGAACGCTAATACTAGTTCTGCAGTCCATATCTGGGAATACCAACGGTACGAGGGCTATCATGCGTCCCTCCACAACATCTCCCGCCATCCGGAATTTCCTGAATTTGACCGCAAGCTGAAGAGCTTGATCAAGAGCAAGAAGACGTCACTGATGCAGGAATTCTCGTTCTGGCCAACGACCCCACCCCGACGACTGGGCGGCCTTTTCGAACTCCGATCCTACACACTTCACCCCGGTAACCTCTTGGAGTGGGAATCGCACTGGCGAACGGGCCTCAGGGCCCGGCGCGAAGTCATGGAGGGAGTCGGTGCCTGGTTTGTTCAGATTGGCGACTTGAACACTGTGCACCACCTCTGGCAATTTGCGAACCTCGAAGAACGCAAGATTTGCCGGGAGCAGTCATGGGGTATCGAAGGATGGGCAGAGACGGTGCACAAGACTGTCCCTCTCATCCAAAGCATGCAGAGCCGGATTCTGATTCCTATGCCATGGAGCCCTGTTGGCTAAGTGCATTGCACCCCATAGTCCAGTCGATTTGCGATGACAGGTAAGGTCCTCGGGGAGCGCCCAGTGCACGGCAAATACTCTGCCGAAGGAAACCAAGCATCAAGGTTGTGGATGGACCGAGATCACTGGGGCGCAAATACACTGCATGGTTTGGAGAACAGAGTCCGCCGATCTCTGGGGGACGAATGTAACGGTTGCTCCAAGTTTCGGGCATTATTTACGGAGTACGGAAAGCTTGGTCGCTCCACTATCCACTATCGAATTTCAACTAAAGCAGCCATAGGACTCTTAGTGTATCTAACCCGCACTAGCATTATCGTCATTTCGTTTATCTTTGTATCTAGAAATTGATTTGAGAACATTTGTTCCGCCAGTCTTTGCCCCAAGTTTCCATGTGTCACATTACTTCTTGCCCGATGGACTTCATATGTTGCCTCGGGTTGCTACTAACATGCTTTCCCTACCCCTCTTTTCTCTGCAAATGATGGACGACGATCACGAAAGTGACCATGCCCTGTGGGATGCACAGCGGTCTTGGGAGATGACCCGGTCCTCCCAACAAAAATACATCCAGCGAATGAAAGGACACACGTGTGTTGCCGAAGCCGGCAGAATTTCTCCACCAACTTCAATTATGACTCTCGTAGTTTCGACGCTCGGGTTGTTTTGCGACTCCCCGCGCGGCATTTCTGCTAAACAGCGATTTTTGACCGGCAGAAAAAAAAAAGTAATTAATACCTACTAAAAATTTAGTACTAAAAGGGAACATCAATCAACAAGAGCTGCGCGTATCCTGTTTTTCTTTCGTCTCGCTCGTATTTCGCTTCTTCCTTTTCTCTTTGGCTTCCTTATCTGCCTTTTAAGTCTTTTCGACAGCCCAACAACTAGTCCCAGATCTTCCCTTGTCTCTAGTCCTGTCCTACCCCCTTTCGGAGTGACACATTGCCTTACTGTCCTTAATTTCACCGCTATCTTTGTAAAGCCCCAAGGCCCCAAGCGAAAAAACCAAAGTCTTCCCACCGTACTCTTCGTAGCCAGACGGACAAGAAGAGTCTCTCCCTGGAGAACAAGACCAACGCAACATGGTGTACATCCGGCAGCATCAACTGCCCAAATTGCGGGAATACCGCTATGCGGGAGTCGACCATTCGCTGATAAGCCGATATGTCCTGAAACCATTCTATAACAATGTCGTGATCAAGTGTTTCCCCATGAGCATGGCGTGAGTAGTGACGCTTCTTCATTCCAACCGGTATCCGGCCTGGCTAACAGCCTGCTTGCCTTAGTCCTAACGCCGTAAGTCTTTAATTCTCCGACTCATGGCAAGAACAGGAAATAACTGAAAACTGGTAGATCACCTTAACTGGCTTCTTCTTTGTGGTAATCAACTTCCTCACGATACTATGGTACAACCCTACTCTAGACCAAGACTGTCCGTCTTGGGTTTATGCCAGCTGCGCCGTGGGATTGTTCTTGTACCAGACCTTTGATGGAGTAGACGGTATTCAAGCGTACGGCCTCTACTCATTTGTTGATAGTTATACGACGCTAATCCTGCCATAACAGACGGAGAACTAAGCAAAGCGGTCCTCTGGGCGAGCTGTTCGACCACAGTGAGGCAAACCTACCCTTCTATGGCAAACTGGCGCTAATTCATCTTTCAACATATAGGCGTCGATGCGTGTAACACTGCTTTGGGAGTGTTGATCTTCTGTGCGGCCATGAATTTTGGCCAGTCATGGGCTACTGTTGTGACTCTTTGGGGATGTACGTTGAATTCCTTGCCGGGAGACAGTTTTCAAAAGAGACTAACGTGAAACAGCAACCATGACATTCTATGTTCAGACCTGGGATGAGTACTACACCCAAGTGCTTACTCTCGGCATTATCTCTGGTCCCGTGGAAGGTGTTCTGACGCTTTGCCTCGTCTTCGGCCTCACGGCTTACATGGGAGGCGGTAGCTTCTGGCATCAGTCAATGCTGGAGACTGTCGGTGTTCCCAAGTTGGATGCCATCCCGGAACAGCTGTATGACATGCCTTTTACGCAGTGGTATCTGGTCTACGGCGCGATTGTGCTCTTCTTCGCGACTGGATCGAGTATTGTGCATGTCATGCAAATTCGGAGAGAGCGTGGGCAGGACCCCATTGCACCGCTCTTTGGTCTCCTTCCCCTTGTTGCGGTGTGGGTGTTCGTGCCGGCTTATCTCTATCTGCAACCGACTATCTTGGAGAACCACATGGTCCCATTTGCCCTTTACGTGGGTCTGGTCAACGCATACGCGGTGGGAAGGATGATCACTGCACACCTGGTCAAGGCCAGTTTCCCTTACTTTAACGTGCTTCTCTGCCCCCTTGCACTTGCTGTACTTGACAGCGCTGGGCCTGCATTCGGTCTGTGGCGCAGCGCACTTGGCGGCGGTGATGGTCAGATTGCATTCATGTACACGTGCCTCGGTCTGGCAATTGGTGTTTATGGAAGCTTCATCGTAAGTTCCCCATGCCCCCACATGTTTCTTTGCTCGATACTCATCAGACAACAGTTTGACATTATCACCACGATATGTGACTACATCGACATCTGGTGCCTCACTATTAAGCACCCCTATGTTGAAAAGCAAACCGCGAATGGTCAAGTTGATGCAGTTGAGAAGAAGATGAGCTGAGAGATAGAGTGTCAAGATTTCAATTGCATGTCAACTATGCGAAGAATTCCATGGTGGGTATGTCATAAACAGGTGTGAGAGTTTCTTGGTTCTGATTTTAGTTTGCTGGATTCATGTTTCGGGTCAAAGCATTGGAGCATTGGGTTGGCCTTCTGCGATTTGGCGTCAAGCTGTATAAAAAAAGACCAAAAATGCCGGGCCATTCATCCTGAGATGCATATGGGCTGGAAACCTTTGTGTCACATGTGATGTCTAAATGCTTTATTAGTTTAGTTGATAGAAAATACTACCTTAATGTTGTAACGTTATCTTGGGGAAAAATGTCGACTGTCTGGTTGCCAGATCGGGTCAAGGATCCATGGGACGAGAGGAACCGTACAGTACAGTACGTGGAGATAGAAGGGAGAGGAATGACGATGGCGATAATGCGATTGCTCTGGAAGAGTCCATTCCGGAAAGGACCTTTGGGACCTCGTGAGGTAAGCAGAAATGCGGCCGCTGATTGGAGGAGATTCGAAACGGTACGGGGTAAAGCTGCCGGACACGCCAAGATTCCTGAAAGGAGTAGTGTTAGCGAGGGCTTGAGCCCTATTTTCCCAGAAAGGGCCAGTGGGTTGAACGGGAGCAGTGAATTCCCTTCAGAGTTTGCCCTCTCCACGAGACCACCTTCTTCGTTCCTCACCCTTCAAGCAGGCCATCTCCATCAGCGCACCATTCAACTTTTATCGCTGATCGACTTTTAGTCTCGTCAAGATGGTAGGTTCTGCCCGTTTTGTCCACCCATTACCTCGCGGATATCCTTCGACATAAGCAAAGATAAAGAGTGCGACTCTTCATCTTGTGCTCGCCATCGCCGTCGCCTCCCGAAGTCCGCCCCTATCGAAATCATCCAAGTCCACGCTGCTAACAAGAAATTTTCTCCCCCGACAGGTTCTCGCGGTCGACCTTCTCAACCCTACGCCTCAGGCCGAGGCCCGCAAGCACAAGCTCAAGGTATGATAAGACACCAATTCTGGGAACATACAGAGTTGGTGGGTTGGATGGCTGACTGGTACTTCCCCGACATTATAGCAACTTGTGCCTGCTCCCCGTTCCTTCTTCATGGACGTCAAGTGCCCCGGCTGCTTCACCATCACCACCGTTTTCTCCCACGCCCAGACCGTCGTCGTCTGCGCCGGCTGCTCGACCGTCCTCTGCCAGCCCACCGGTGGCAAGGCCCGTCTCACTGAGGGCTGCTCTTTCCGCAGAAAGTAGATGTCACGACGCAACCAGGCTGGAGCGATGATGAAAGACATGTGGCGTTTTTCGATGGATTAATCTAATCTTTTTTTTGAGCAACACTCAGATAGAAGATGGAGTCCTCGCCCCCTTGCGAGAAAACCCCTCAAAAAATACAAAGGTTCGAAGGGAAATGAGAAGTACCCAAGCAGGCGCAGCCATTTCTATACCAAGTTTCCACCAAAAAGCGTACATGGAGGGAGTTCCGGATATCTGGCAATGATCGGTCCATACTATATCAACCTTTGCCTCTTTTTTGACTACTATCGAAACGTTGTTTGCTTTTATTCTTGTTTATGCTGTGGGATCCGTACGACATCATCTTCTCCCGACACCTCTCCCGTCATGGAAGGATATGACGGGTGGATCCCACCATTGGGCATATCTGCATGAGCGTTGCCGGTTGATTCACGTATTCGGATGTCATGGGGATTGAGTGTGGATCCTCCCCTATGACGAAGATGAATAGCTGGTTACTGGCATTGCTAGGACGGCGGATGTGACTACGGGTGAAACTTGGATCCAGTCAGGCAGATGGCGCTTGGTTTTGGCAGGATGTAGAAATACGGTCCTGTTGTAGGCTAGCCTATCTGACCAGGACGTTCAAGCCGTGTACATCCCTCGATGCTATGCAATTGTATTCATGTTCCAGATTATTCCGTGGATAGCCCTTGTAATACCCCCGTAGAGATCCCCGTAGATACCAAGTCCCACTGTAGAGTAGACGAACCAGCCACTGCCGACATGGTATATATTCCTTTCGATGGTGGAGTACTATTTAGGCCACATTCGTCCTAGGCCTCTTTATGCTCCGTAGCATAGATAGACGGCTGCTCCACAGTGGAGTCCAAAAAAAATATCCTTGTAATTAGATACGGACTTCCTTTCACTCCCTCTATCTTCAATCCCGGGTTTCAGTCTCCTTCGGTTGAAGAACCTTGAATATGCAATATGCCTGCACTGGTAGTTCAATTCTAAATTCCTTTCGACATTCGCCTATAACCTGGTATCCAGTAAGAGAGCACCGACTAGTTTAGTATCTCCTACCGTCCCGTTCACACTAATACTGAACTAATCCAGACGTAGCAAGCAAAATCAACAGGTTCTCGCCCATGTGGTGCAAGTCCTGAACGTTAATTGGGTGTCTGGTGAAGCCTTAATTTAAGGCCAACTTCTTGGTCACGGGAGTAGACTGAGGAGGACTATTTTGGTTACTGGTAGAGGTAGCTTTGAGCAATGGGGTCAGTGTTGTCATCACCATCGCTGTCGGTGTTCGTTTTCCTTTCTACTTTGTCTCTTAGCTTTTGTATGGCCTACTTGGAAAAATGAAGTTTCCCTCGTCAAGTTAGCTTTGTATGCCGGTATATCATAGTATTCTTGGCACTATAAGACCTATATTGATTGTGTATATAGTGTCATAACTGTTAATATCATTGTATCCTAGTTTATTACCAAAGAACCTTTAACATATTTAAGAAGGGAGCGAAAAGTACAAAAAGATAAAGCGTCTCTTACGTAGCCAAAAGGCATATTCAAAACTTCTAAACCCTTCTTTGCACACCCACACTATTAACGCCGAAACGGAGTCAATCATGGCTAGACAGTCACATCCATAACCAAGCCAAAATCCTAGTTTTTTATACCAAACCTATTCCTATCTCATACACACATACCATGATCCCAGAACCAATACATATACAAGTTTTAAACAGCATTAACTGCCTGAGCCTTCTGCTTAATCGCATCACCAAAGTCAAGCGGACCTCCCCCCATCATGAGCATCATCTGTGCCATCGGCCCGCTGCCCTCGATCAGTTGCTCAGCGAGCACGTTGCGGCCCCGGATATCCTGGAACTCTTTGACGGTGGCAGGGTCTGCCGCTTGGAGTTTCTGGGCGTCAATGCTCCTCAGCTTGGTGTGAGTGTTGCGGATGAAGTCATGGATATAGAAGCCTGTTGGGTGGGGTGGGCTGCCTGTCATCATCGGGTGAGATTCGATGGCTCTGTTTGAGATGTTCTTGGTTAGTTTTTGTTGTTTTTATTTACTTCTTCTTATCATGGTTTTGGCTTATCTCTTTGGGTTGACAAATATGGTTGAGATGAGATGAGATGTAAAGGGAAAGAAATGAGTTATGTTATGTGACGTACGCCAGGAGCTCGCTCATGCGGGTGTCGAGGGTCTGGATTGTGTTTGCGTCGGTCATTTTGGTGGTTTTTGGGTTTTATTGATCTGGCAAGAATGGATAATGACGATGTTAAGACTTTTTTATAAATGGATGTCTTTTGTTGATGTTCATGAAACTCAATGAGGGGTTCAAACTTCTTTTTCTCCACCTTGGGTGGCCTTATCTTATCGCCTGATTTGTACCTGAATTGGTCCTTTAGGAAAATAGAAATCGAAACAGTGCAAGTTGGACTAAAAATTACGAGAAGCACGGGGTATAGAATGTTGTTTTGTGGGTTTCGAGATTTATGTCTAAAAGGCGGGTGGACAAAATATGTATGCATGCCCTGGGGCCGAGGGCAATCACGCCGTGTAGTTCAGAAACCACACGTTACTACTTATTGACAGTGTGCCTCTCTGAGTATACACTTTCGCATATTAGCCTATATTAATGCCTGAAACTTGCCAAGGAAAAGCACACACTCTGAGCAGCACTGTCAGTCTCATTGTTTCGCAATGCTAAGCCTCTAATATGGTAAGCTAATCTCTCCAGGGGCCTAAAAATGCAGTGTAATGGATCAGCCTTGATTCGTCCCGCAAATATGAACTCTGAGTGGTATACATCGTATGGTGGATGTGTTCACATCAGGTCCTATGCTGTATATTCCCGCAGTGCATGACTCTGACGTAGGTGTATACCTACGATCATTTACATGCATGTACACGCCTTTAAGACAGGGTATCAAAGATACTAAATGTATATATGCGTTACTCAGGCAGCTATAGAATGTTACCATAGCTAGGATGAGACCCCAAGCGAGTTCCACATTTTGTACTGCAGTGTCAAACTGGTGAGGTCGGTCTGTTTCTATACTTACCATAGAGGGAAAAGAACAAATAATGCTACCCTTTCCCGCCTTTCTTATCTTATCGGCTCTTACAATTTAATGCAATTCAACTAAGCCATACTCAGTCTCCGATCACATCAATATCAATCAATCATTATCCCAGCTATTCCTCCATCAACCCCTCCGAACCGAACCCCCCTTCTCAACTAATTCCAAAAAACACACAGACGAACAGGAAAGCCACAAATAAACAAGTCAAAATGTCCAAACAACCCCTCAAACTCCTCATGCTACACGGCTACACCCAATCCGGCCCCCTCTTCCACGCCAAAAGCCGCGCCCTAATCAAACACCTCACAAAAGCCTTCCCTCTCCACGACGTAACAGCAACCTACCCCACAGGCCCCCTACGCCTCAACCCCGCCGACATTCCAGGCTACGAGCCCTCCCAAGAAACCCCCACCGAGCCCCTCGAAGCCTACGGCTGGTTCCGGCGCTCCAACACCGCGTCGCCGCCCGAATACCTCGGTCTCGAGGACGGGCTGGCCGCCGTCGCAAAAGTAATGTCCGAGGAAGGGCCCTTTGACGGCGTGATCGGCTTCTCGCAGGGCGCGGCCATGGCGGCCATGGTGGTTTCGTTGCTCGAGCCTGGCCGGAAGGAGGCGTTTGCGAGGTTTTTGGATGCGAATGTTGCGTCGGAGGGGAAGGGTGAGGCGGATGCTGTTGTGTCGGGGGTGCCGTTTCCGAAGGCGTTTGAGGGGTTGAGTCATCCGCCTTTTAAGTTTGCGCTGTGTTATAGTGGGTTTCGGTCGCCTGGGGCGCGGTATCGGGGGTTTTATGAGAGTCCGGCATTGCAGACGCCGATTTTGCATATTTTGGGGTCGTTGGATGCTGTGGTTGAGGAGTCGAGGAGTAGAGCGTTGGTTGAGGCTTGTGCGGGGGATCCGGAGAAGGAGGGTAAGGTTTTTTGGCATCCTGGTGGACATTTCTTGCCTAGCCAGAGGCCGTATTTGGATGCTGCAGTGCGGTTTATTAGGGAGCAGTTGGAGGGTGGTAACAAGAAGGATGCTGAGGAGGAGGATGTGAATGATATGGACTTGCCCTTTTAGATTATAGATCTAGATTTAGAATGTTTTTACTTTTCTCTATAGCCACCATGGAGGCTATCTGAAGATATACGATTAGCTTGGGGAGATGGCAATAGCCCGCGCAGCATCATGTATATAGCATGCAAAAGCATTAATCCATTTCTAGATACTGTCTCGTAATTTTACACGCCGAGAAACCAGCGCCGATTCATAATCGCTGACCACTTTCTAAACCTGCCCGTTTAACGAGCCTTACCCTTCTCTCGGGTGGGGAGGATACGGGCCATCATCTCTTCCTTTGTGATCAAGTGATCGATGCGCTCCAAGAGCCCCAGGAGGCTCTTCATGTCACTACTCCATTCGTTCAACACATCATCAGCATCGCGCGGCTTCGCGAAGTTGATCAGTCGCGCGGGACGATCGATCTTCGCATAGATCGTCTTCGATGTGACCAATTCACTGATATACTTCTCCGTCTCCTCTTCAGTCAAATCCAAAAGCTGAGTCAACCGGCCCATCTGGATCCGCGTGTAATATTTGGCCACGACACGGACATTGTGTTCGATAACTCGCTTGCGAAGATCCTGCCACCGCTTGAATGGTTGGTCGTCTGCGGACTGGCTGGGCTTGGGGCTGAAGACGTCGGTATTGCACAAATGGGGGCCGAATTGCTGTCCAATGGCCGGCCAGCGCATCAATTCGTGAATGGTGAAAAACTTCAGGAGCCGGTTTTCCACGGGAACCATGGAGATTCGAGAGTCCGATTGGATGCGGTGCAACAGATCTGACTGTTCGTTGTCATACGGAGACAAGATGATGTAGTAGATAATCCGGGCAAGAACCTATGTGGTCATTAGCTTACAACCCACAAGATCAAGTCATACAAGAATACTTACTGCTCGCAGCTGTTCTGGGTTGTTCTCTACCGACTCTGTATCCAGCACTTCCCGATAATGTTTACACACATCTAGATACTTGTAATCATGGTTCGAAAGGATGATCTGTTGTTCATAGTAGCGGAGCTTCAGATCCGTTACGTCGTCGTCAACTTCCATCGGGGGCTCATCCGGACCACGGGTCTTCTCCCTCTCTTCGGCTTCCTTTTTGAGCTTCGCGATCTCCTCGGGGCTCTTCTTCGGCTTGCGGTTGAAGTAACGCTTATTGATCTTGCGGCTCAAAATTGTTGCTTGTGTCCAGTCGCCACGCTCTATGCAAAGTGCCACTTGCTCCAGGATAAATTCGGTCTTCTCTCTTCTAGTCATGGATCCGAATGTCTCAACTTGCAGTTCGCAGAGGATGTCAGCGGCGGCATTGAGATCGCCTTGGGATTTCTTGATGTTTGACAGGATGCGGGTGACGCGGGCTCTTTCGACTTCGACAAAGATCTGTATGGTGTATTAGCTATACGCTGGACAGAAAGAGGCTCTCGTGGTACACACCTTTCCCTCAGTCACAGTCCGGAGGGTCTGGATGACAGACAACTTCACATCCGTATTGGGTGTTTCATCCAAAAATCCCATCACCACCTGCACCATCTTTGTAATGGCTTGCTTAAGCTGGCCATGCTTCTTGGAGAGGAGGAGGACTTGGTCGTTGAGAAGGTTCCAGTCTCCGGAGTTCTTGCTGAGTGTTACAATCGTGACGAGAAGACGGGATGTAGTTGGGAGATCAGAGGCCTGTTTTAGAACTCCGTCAGTATCGCAGTGCATCACACAGGGCCGGCCATATGTCATACCTGTCTCGCTTGCTTCTCCAATCCGAGCAGACTGTCAATCGCGCGTTGAGCATCGGTCTATCAGTCATGTCAGTATCACACTCAAGCGCAGCTATACAAAGCGAATCCAACCTTGGCGATCTGCTCGGCCTCGGGAATCAGCTTGTCAGCATCCTTGGAGAAGTCCTTCTCCGCCTTCAATACTCCGTCAGCCATGATGACGGATGTTGTGACCTGAGTTTGACGGTTTCGGAGTTTATGATAGAGGGTATCAAGCGGAATAGATTAAGTGTTCCGAAACCGAGGGATGAGAGGTAGTTCGTGAGAAGAGATAACTGATGGCGGAGTGACGGGCTGAGGATGGGAACGAACATGGAGCTTGACGTCTTGCCAGTCAAGCTGCCCGAAGCTCTACGTCACGTGATATACACTTTAGCCTTGGTGACTAAGGCATCAGTCTGGTCAAGATCACCATGGGAAGTACTGAGGAGGTTCAAGTTCCTGGTCTTCCTTGTTTACTCTTTTCTATGGCATCTTCCTCCCCAGATGAGCATCATGGGTATTCTTATGTCAATCCCAGTCTTATCTTGACCGAAGTTCTAGGATTTCCCTATTGGATCCTTCAAGTGTTCTACCATGCTGACCGTCAGAGAACCATCATGCTGCACCTTTGGCTGTCTTGCAGCGACCATAACTAGCTGATCAGTGAGAAATATCGCAAAAGAAGGCAGTCAACCTGTGCAAACATCCTCATCGCGATGACGGCTAATGAGCTTCAGGCTGATTCGCGATGACCAGTGCGGGGCTTAGATAAGCAACGAATGCACGATCACGCAATATCGCTTTAACCGCATTGGGAACTACAGAGAAATGTATATAAAAGAAAGAGTCACAATTTCAGATGACTGATAACTACTGTGGTACATGGGATTTGCTTTATTAATCGCCTAGATAGGCTTATCAGACTGCGCAACCGCGATTGTCAGGAGAAACTCAATCCTTATCTCCAACTCGCCTCTCATTCGGTTGCGTTGAGCCTATTTCCGCGGACATTTGTGCCCGCAAGCAATCATATTGACTGGGAGCCCCTCTGCCATTTCGGTGATTGTGGGGTAAAGGAATAAAAATCACTCAGTTTTCGCTGATTTTGGCCTCCCACATCTTCACAATTAACTCGTTAGTACATTAAGAAAGGCCATTCGGAACAGCAGGTTTTACCTGCGGTGGCAACTTGGCACAATGAAAGACGCATCGTGTGATAACGGATCTCCAGCACCATTGCTGACGGCGGTCTATGCTGAATCTCAAATCCATTTGATTATCGGTGGAAACCCTCTTGCTGCAGCTCGTTGTGCGAAATCTCTAGAAGCCGGCGCAAAGCCGGTCATCATTGCGCCAGACGCTGGAGACTTGCATTTCAGCTTGTCTGAGCGTATAGAGAATGGTTCTGTACAATGGGTACGCAGAGATTTCCAAGATGACGATCTGAAGACCCTGGGAAGGGAGGAGGTCGACCATGTCGTTGACACGGTTTTTATCACCCTTGGTGGGAATCACCCGTTGAGTATGTGCTGATCTCAAAAGTTACCGAGGAATATGATCTAATTACCTGATAGGTGCACACATCTCGAAGCTTTGTCGGCGGCTTAGAATTCCTGTCAATGTCTCTGACGCCCCGGACCTGTGTACTTTTAGCTTACT